TGTGTTAGTTTCGTGTTTTGTTTTCAGAAATACTAAATATTGTTTATTTACTCTTTTTTTTAAGTGGTCACTTTTTTTGATCAATACTGTATATTCTAATAAAATTTTTAAAATATATAACCTTTTTGATTTGTGAAACATTGATGTGGATTTTGGTGGAGAAAGAATCTTTTGAAAATTTTAAAAATAACAAAAAAAAGTAATTAATAAATTTTATTATTTTTATTATTTATTAGAATTTTTATATATATAAAATTTGGGGCGCCAATCCGATCGTGGGGCGCCAATCGAAACGGTACCTTAATAACTGATGACATGATCATGTACTTCTAATCAAATATAATTAGTTTAGTTAATCGCTATGTAAGTTCCTTTAATTTAAGTCACAACTATCATAATGATGCTTTTCTCTCCTCAAAATAAATAAAAATAAGTTATACTAACTTTAAAATTATGTTAAAAGTTGTGTCCTTCCTTCATCGTAACAAAAGAATGTATTTGCAAAGAAACCCTGTTATTTATAACACAACTTCAGAGAAAAGCGAGTGTAGACTCTCTTTGTAGTCCTAATAGAAATTTTCAGACTACCAAAAAACCCTTACTGCTTTTTGCCTATAGGTTAGATAATTTTATCTATTCAAAAAAGTTAAGAAGCTATTATTTTTCATAAATGCTACTAAAATTTCAACATTGTATATCAAAAACTTAAAAAAAATAAAAAATTTTATAAAATTTTTTTGTTTAATAAAAAGTTAAGGGAGTCGATCAAAAGAATGTCTTGATATAAATATAAAATTTACTATTTATACTATTCTTTTGATTTAAAGGAATGTTTTGTATTTTAAAACAATTTCTAAATAAGCGATACACTAATATTTCATTAAAATCTCTAATTTATAACTTGTCTAATTTTTTTTAAAGTAGAAATTAAGAGAATATTATTGACGTGAGTGAACTATCGATATTAACACGTTGGTGTTCCATCGTAGTTCTAAGGTAAAGGTAATTGTTCATCTTTACTGTATACTCACTCATCCATTTATTTCTTATGTTCTTTGTCTTTTTCAAAATATAATAATTTTGCATGGGTAAAAATTTATTTAAAAATTTAAACATATAATTGTTCTATTTAGAACAATTCAGATTCCTTATCAGGGATTACGTCAATTATTTTAAATAGTAATCATCCTTTGTTTAAAATAATCTTTAAACTTGCAAAATTTATTTAACAGTCAATTTTTTATTAATAATTTAAGTTGATTGATATATTTTATTATTAAATTATTTGAACTAAAAATGATTAATTGATTTATAAACATATTAAGAAATTGATAATGTTACACAAAAATATAAATTTAATGTATTTATTTCAAAAATATCACGGATACATCTTATTCTAAATTATTATTTTCACAATCAAATTATATTTTTTAAAAATTAAAAAAACAAAAAGACATCAAATTGGTATTAATAATTATTTTACATCCACTTTATTTCATGTCATTATTAATTTATAAAATAAGTCTAAATTTATGTCTATTATAAGTCTAAATTTATTTGAAAGGTGTCATTTTTTTGATAAAAATTTTATATAAAAATTTGTTTTTTATTATCTTTATTAGATAGAAAATTTTAATAAAAACTTGTTTATTATTTAAGCTTATTTCCTTTTAAATATTTTTTTAAAAAACACCTTAAAATGATTTGGTACTCACTTAATTTAAATGTTTTAAGTACAGATGAACATACATCAGATGTATCTGTAGTCCCGCTTGATGTAAAACCCAAAGAAGAAACCATAACAACAACAGATTTCTTTGAAGATAATGATTCTGATGTATTATTTCAAAATGTATCTGAAAATAATGAAGGAATTTCTAATAAAAGAAAACTTACCACTGCAGAAGAAGATCAATCCTCTGAAAGTCATAAGCGTACTAAATTATTTCAAAATTTACCTTTTAAAAAAAGGTATATAAAATTACATGAAGAATCAAATTTAAATAAAGATAGAGATCTTAATAATTTTTCTATAGAAAAACCTTCTTATTTTAAAGGTTTTAAAATGGAAGATATTAAGACTTTATCTGATTGTATTTTTAAATTAACTAGTGTTGATTATGATATGAATGATTGGAACATCATTTACAAGATTTTTTATGGTGAGGAAAAAGATATTAGTTTATTACAAGTAAAGAATATTCGTGTATTTTTAAAGCTAATTATTTCTTATATGGCTTTTATAAGAAAAAAATGAAGAATTTAGATCCTTTTTTAACTTCAAATAAAAGTCAAAAAATGAGTTTTTATGAATGTTCCTTGTATAAAATAATTAGAAAACTTGTATATAAATATCGTTTGGATGGTTTTGAATATAATTTAGATAACATTAACTGTTTTATTTACAGTTTAAATAATTTGATGAGATTTACACTTTTTTATAATCAGCTTAAACAATCTTTAAATTCGGTTAAGAACAATGAAAAGAATTTACAAATTGAATACAATAATTTGGTAGAATTATTTTGTAGAGAAATAGACGAATTAAAAGATTATATAAACACGTTTAAAGATAATTATTTTATTGAAAAAGAGAGAAAAACATATTATTTCAGTAAGTATAAATATGATTATAAAATAACCAATAAGAAAGGTATTTGTAGTATAGAAGAATTTAAAAATAATTTAAGAGTACTTGGATCTGATTATTTGTTTTTAATTAGAAACTATTGGATATTAACGAAAACAATAAAAGACAGAACTATGGCTGTGTTTTTATATGAACATAAAAATTTATTATTAAAAGAATTCGAAAAGTACATTAAAAAATTAAACTAATTATTAATAATTTTGAATATCTTTGTACATTCATTAGTTTCTTAGGCAGTGTTTTGATTAGATTCTTTTTTAGTTTTATTCCGTCAATTGGATTAGTGTCATAAACCGATAAGCGCTTATAAACTATTATAATTAAAAAGTTAATTTAACTTATTAATAATTTTTCCTTAAGAACTTCATAAATTCTTTAAATTTTGAACCTTATGTTGGTAACAAAAGCAAAAAAGCTTAAATGGCCTTGAAAGAAAAATGGCATTTCCTCTTTGATTTTTCATTGTTTTGAGCTTATCATGACTACATATGCACTCAATTAATTGGGTATGACATTCAGTTGTTGAGTCTATAAAATTCTTATTTTGGTTTACCAAATTCTGGTTATGAAAGTACAAGTTTAGACCATAGTATGCTCTACATCCATCTGAGATAATGACATTTTACATGTCTACATGTTAAAACAACAATGGTAACAAAGTGTTCCTAACTCATTTCTCTGCAAGAAATATCTTAACTTTTCTTATGTCTTGCTCTGTAATACCAAAACCTATGGTTCGTTAACTCTGTATCAAGTTGTTATTGTGTTTGTTAATCCCATTACTTTTCATAAAATGATTAAGAAGAAGTTTTCTTGGTTGTATTTTCAACGACCTATAAAAAGAAATTCATCTTGTACAACTTTTACCAAACTTCCTAATTTTTTACTCATGATATAATCACGAGTTTTCAATCAGATGAAATTATTGCATTTGATTACTGTGTCAGTTCCTTTAATTTGAGACTCAGTGATCATATATAATACCGTTCTCTCCCCAAAATAAAGAAAAATATATTTTACCAATTTCTGGACTAATGTTACATGTCGTGTTCTTCTTTCTTCATAACAAAATAAGGTATTCAGAAAGAGAGTCTGTTCTTTAGGACACGACTTACACTAGAGAAAGAAATGAGTGTCAACTTTCTTTCTAATCCTCACGAAGAGTCTTTGGTTATCACATAGTCTACATTATCTTTCGATCACGGGTTTTATGGCGCCAATTTACTCTAAAAAAATCAAAAAAGTATTGTCTTCAATAATAGCTTCTAATAACTCACTATACTGTATTAAGAGTGTAAAAATTTTTAAAGTATTTGATAAAATTTTTTTATTTAATAAAATTTTATGAGGCACCAATCGATTTCAGTTGATTAGTTTTATATATTAGGTGTCAATCAAAAGAATACCATGATTTAAATAAATTATAATTTTTTCAATTTTATCATTATTTATTAAATTTTTGATCAATTAAATAATTAAAAACATCACAAAATAATTAATTAATTTTAACAAAAATTTTTTAATTCTTTAATTAAAATTTGTTAATAACACTTTTAATAAAAATTTAACGTTTTTATAATTAATTACTAAATAATTATAAATTTGTTAAGCTATTTATTTTAAATTTAATAAACCATATAAAGATAAATTAAAATTAAATCAAGAATTAAATAAAATAAGTGTGTAATGAATTAAAATTTGAGTTTTTCTCTTTAATACGTCTTTAAAAATATAAAATAAATAAGAAATTGTTTTAGCCCTATGTTTTTATTAAATTTTATTTGTTGTAGTAACTTACTTCCTTCAAGTTTATATTATGATGAAGTAAAAAGTATGCTTAAACAAAGAATTTGTGATTCTAAATCTGTTAAAAGTATTTTAGAAAGTTGTGTTAAAAGTAAGTCAAAAGAAGTTGATTTTACATACCTTTATCATTATAATTTTTTTAATTTTCATAATAAAAATTTTGATCAAATAATCAAAATTAATGTTAAAGACAAAGTATATCGTTCAAATGTTTATGATTATGAAGCTTTCATTTGGCTTTGTAACCTTGAAGTTATTCTAAGAGTTTTAGAAAAAAATTCATTTGAAGATCAATACGTTGTTTTGTTATCAAAATTTATAACCAGGTATTTAAAAAGTTATTATAATTTTAATGAAAAAAATGAAAGAAAGACTTCAAAAAAGGCGGTTATTTATAATAACTATTCAAATATGATAATTATAAAAAATTTTGAACATTTTATTGGTTGTAAAAATCAAAGAGATTGTCAAATTAAAAACAAATTGCAAAATGTTAATTTTTTTGGAGAAAATAACCAGTGTGAACGAGTTACAGTTGAATTTAATGAATATACACGATTTATTGATTTTTATTGTAGTTTTCTTAGAAATCAAAATGGAATATTAGAAGAGTGTGTATTACTAGCTAAAAATTTAAAAGTAAAATTTGATCTGTTTTTAAACATAAAAGAAAAACTTAATGATCTGTTACAATATAAAGTTGTTTGTTCATTAAAAAATGGTTTATCTGTTAAAGAAATAGAAAAATCTACTTTTGAAGATTACAATTATTTCTATAGAAAATTAATTCTAGAATTTAAAGAAAACCCTGAAAGTAAAAAAATATTAGAACTAGTTAATGAAAGTTTAGAATTGTTTAAAGATGATGTAATTATTTTTAAAGATATTATTTATTATATTTATTATCAATTTATGAAATGTGATACTACTAGAGATTTGTTTAGATTATGTTATTGTTTAATTAAATACAGAGGATTTGATTATAAAAATAAAAGGTTACTGCATTCATCTTTTAAAGAAATCAAAATACAATTTGATGAGAATATGAAAGCTTATGACAAAGAATAAATTTCTATTTTTTTTTAAAGTATAAAAAAATAAATAATTGTTTATTTAGATGTTTAAAACCAAATAATAAAAACAAATAAACATGAATATTTTAATCTTAGTAAGACTTATTTTTAGTAGACAAAATGCAGTTATAATGATTTTATGTAGAAATAGAGAAAAAGATGCAATAGCAAATACATTAAGAAATTTTGAAGAAAAATTTAATAAAAACTATAACTACCCCTATGTGTTTTTAAATGATGATGATTTTACTGATGAGTTTAAGAAAGAAATACAAAAAATAACATCTAATGTTAAATTTGGGAAAGTAGAGAAAGAAGACTGGGAAATGCCAGATAATATTGATAGAGTAAAAGCAATGAAGAATTGGAAACTTATGGAAACAAAGGGTGTTCCATATGCTAATTTAGAAAGTTATCATAACATGTGTAGATTCTTTTCAAGAACTTTCTATAAACACAAACTATTGCTAGAATACGACTATTACTGGAGAATTGAACCAGGTGTCAAATTTCATTGTGATATTGATTTTGATCCATTTGATGAACTTAAGTTTAAAAATAAAAAGTATGCTTTTGTAATTACAATTAGAGAATTTATGGATTCAATACCCTCACTTATGGATGTAACACTTGATTTTTTAAAAGAAAATTATACTAAAATACCAAAATATAACTCACATAAGTTTATGTTTGATAATGGAAAGTATAATGGATGTCATTTTTGGTCAAATTTTGAAATAGCAGATTTTAACTTTTTTAGAAGTAAACTTTATAATGCATATTTAGATCACTTAGAGAATTCAGGAGGATTTTACTACGAGAGGTGGGGAGATGCGCCAGTTCATTCATTAGCAGTTGCACTATTCCTTGATTTATCACACATATTATTTATTAAAAAAATAGGATATACACATGATTCATTTACTCACTGTCCAGAAGAAGGAAAGAATTGTGACTGTGATGTTAAAAAAAGTGTAGATTTTACACCTTTTTCATGTCTGAAAGAATATTTGAGAGTTTAATAAATAAAAAAATTTAATAGAAATTTTATTAATGAATTCAAATAAAAAAACAGCAGCAGATATTTTAAGAAGTAAGCTACAAAAGACTAGAATTAAAATGAATATTGAAGAGAGTAATTTTCCTAAGTTTTCAGAGATTAAAGGAGTTGATTTAAGTCAATTTAATAAGATTTATAATCCACTATTTAACAAACATAAATACACTGAGTTGGGTGTTAAAGTACCAAAAACTATACTGATTTATGGAGTAGAGGGAGTAGGAAAGAAATTTCTTATTAATTCATTTGCTAATGAGTATCAAGTTCAAATTCATAAATCATATTTAAAAACAGCTATTGATGTTAGAGAGTTGTTTAGAAAAGCTTCTGATGATTCGATAATTTTAATAGAACAAAACAATTTGTTAAGTTTTAATAATGAAGATGATGATCTTTTAGAAGTTAAGTTACAATTAAAAGAAAGTATTAATTTAAATAATAATTTAGTTGTGTGTCTTCACAAAGATAAAAATGTTGATTTAATTATTGATAGTGAAATATTTATTAAAATACCAACAGTTAAAGACAGAAGGGATATTTTAGAATATTTGATGAAGGACATTAAAAAAGAAAATATTGATTATGATTTATTGGCTCATAATACTCCTGGTTTTATACCAAAGGATTTAGTTAAGTTAATAGGCATTGCATCTGAAATAGTAATTATTGAGTCATCTGCAAGAAAAGTATCACTAACAATGAATGATTTTGAATTAGCACTTAAGAAGTGGAAAAATATTCAAGAAGTGATAACATTTGATGATATAGGAGCTATGGGAAGAGTAAAAGAAGAACTAAAGAATTCAATACTTTTACCATCTAAGTTTCCAGAGAAGTTTGCTAGATTGGGATTAGAAAGACCATCTGGTATTTTATTATATGGACCTCCTGGTTGTGGTAAGACGCTTATTGCAAAAGCTGTTTCTTGTATGAGTCACTGCTCATTCTTATCAATTAAAGGACCTGAATTAATAACTAAGTATGTTGGAGATTCCGAAAAACATTTAAGAGATCTTTTTGAAAAAGCTAAAAATTTATCACCTTGTGTGTTGTTTTTTGATGAGATTGACAGTTTGTGTGGTAGGAGAGGAACTAATGAATTTGGAAATCGAATAGTGAATCAAATATTAACTTTAATGGATGGTATGGAAGATAGGGGGCAAGTTTATATTATTGGAGCTACTAATAGAATTAGTCATATTGATAAAGCTCTATTAAGACCAGGTAGGTTTGATAAAATTGTTAATGTACCAATACCTGATGAATCTGAAAGATATGACATATTTGATAAAACTATTTCTAAGTTACCTGTTGAGAAGTTTGATATAAAAGAATTGGATTTAAGTGGTTTAACAGGGGCAGGAATAGCTGGTGTTGTTAAAGAAGCAGCTACACTTTGTTTAAGAGATAATTTTGAAAATAATGATATTTTAATTAGTAAGAAATATTTTGAAATTGCTTTAGAAAAGTTTAAAGAAATGAAACAATCAAATTTTGATGAATCCGATTAAAATTTATATCAAAGTATTTAATTAAAAATATACTTTTATTTTTATTGATTAATAATATTTTATATTAAAAAATTAAATTATTCACAAAAGTATAAATTTTATTTACAAATTGATTTTACAAAACTATTAATTTTATTTATAAATTATTTACAAAATTATTAATTTTATTTATAAATTGATTTTACAAATAAAAATACTGAATTTATACTTATTAAAATAATATTTATCGTGATAAAGTAATATTTATCATCTTTCAGTGTATTTTCATTTTCTGTTGTTTTTATAATTGTAGTATTATTTATCAACCCAATAAAAGATGTACAAACATAACAATGTAATAGCATTTTATAAACATTTTCTCTTTTTCTATCAAAATAATATAATCCTAAAAATGTATATAACCAGATAATATAAGATATTCCCAGATAATCAAGATTAATATAATCTATTAACATTATAGTTGTTATATTAATAAACATTATAGTTATTGTTTTATACTTAATTTTTAAACATTTAATTATACTTCTTATTAAAAATTTTACAAGGAATATAAAAATATTAATTACTATTGTGATATAAAAAGAGTTATTAGATAGATCAAAAGACTCAATAATTGTTAATATAACTAGAATAGTACAAATATTTCTAATTATAAAATGTATTAAGTCAGTAAAACCACACATACCTATTATAAAAAGAAATATTGTGAGATTTTTTTTAAAATTTTTAAAATATTTGTCTAAAAACATTACTATATTTACTAAAAGACTGTATTTAAAGGATAATTCGTTAATTATTACAAATCCATATTGATAAGATTTCAAAATAAACTTTAAGAAATTCATTAACTATAAATAAACAAAATTAAAATAATTTGTTTAATTTAACCAACAAATTATTTTAATTAAACATAAATATAACATGTATTAAAATAACAAAGATGGTCTCATATATTTCACTAATAAAGGTAGAATTTAAGAAAGTATTAAGTGGACCAATAAACAAATTCTCGTTAAAAACACTTACATTTCTGTACATCGTTCACCAAAATTTAAAAAGAGATACTTTTATAAAGAAAAGGGCTATCTATTATGCGAATGTAAACGTGTATTCGAAACACAAAAGAGCGTAAATTATTTAGTTAAAAAGTATATAGAGAAGTTTAATTGCAGAGAAGAAGATTTAAAAATAAGACCGGGATTAAAAGGAATTTTTAAAGGATTAATATCATTACAATATACAGATAGTGCTGAATATATCGAATTAAATGAAGGATTGATTCCAGATATGTTATTCATAAGAGACATTAAACTAGAATATAAGAAAGTTTTAATAATAGAAAAAGAAGCAATAATTGATACTACAGAATGTAATGGTAGATTATTAGTTAGTGGAAAAGGATTTCCATGTAGAAATACACTATCTTTTTTAAAGTTTATAACTTGTAAATATAAATACATTATTCTCGAGAGTTTAACTGATTTAGATCCACATGGATTGTTAATACATTTGAAATATATAGAAGAGATACCTAAAATTACGAGAATTGGTCTATCTTGTGAAGATTTATTGAAGAATGGAGTAGATAAACATCAATGTATACCACTCACAGAAAATGATAAAAACATCTTAAAGAAATTAATTAAAGATAATTTTGTGAAAGAAGAAGCAAAATTCATAGAAGGATTTGGATATAAATTTGAATTAAATCAAAATTTATTGTAGAAATGAAATTAAAAGCAAGTGAAGATTTTTTTAAAAAATTTTTTTTTGAAAAATATTTAAAAAAAATTGAATTTTTAACCCATAAAAATGTATACAAAAGCAGCAATAAATGTTAACGAGATGTACAATGAATTGAAGGAAGTAAGAACGATTGCAATAGTCGGACATGTCGATAGTGGTAAGTCTACAATGACAGGAGCCTTGGCATGTAGATATGGAGATTTTGATAAAAGAATGCAAGAAAAATTAAGCGATATCGCAGAGAAGTATGGTAAGAAGACTTTGAATTTAGCATATTATACAGACAGAACTAAGGAAGAAAGAGAAAGAGGAGTAACTATTAATACAACTATGGTTCCAATTGAGACATCTAAATACAGAATAAATATTATGGACTGTCCGGGACACAAAGATTATGTTAAGAATGCAACTAGTGGATGTAGACAGTCTGATGCAACTATTGTAGTTGTACCAGCACGTTTTGAAGCTTCAGTAGGAACAGAAGGTACTTTATTCACACATATTACACTTGCAGCAGTTTTGGGATCTTCAGATTTTATTGTTTGTATTAACAAGTGTGATGATATAGATAAAGATTCATCTGTATCACCATTGTCACAGTTTGAAGCAGCTAAGTGCGCAGTTAAGGAATTATTTACTAAAATCGGAGTAAATACTGATAAAATTGTATTTATTCCAACATCTGCATTTTTTAATATTGGATTGTTTGAGGAAGAGAAACTTTTTGATTGGTTCCCAGGACATGAACATAAGGATCCAAAAACAAAAAAGATTACATTGATAAAGACATTAGAAGTAGCACTTGATATGTTACCACCACCAGAAAAAACCAATGAAAAGGGATTGAGAGCAATTGTACAGAATGTTTACAACATCCCAGGTATTGGAATGGTATGTGGATTGAATGTAGTCAGTGGTGTACTTAAGTTGGATCAGAAATTTATAATTCAACCAACAGGGTATACAAATACTATTAAAACACTTGAGGAGCACAAGCTGTCAATTAATGAGGCTCAGAATGGACAAAATGTAGGAGCAACGTTCGCAGTTAAGAACAAGACACAAGATGCTAAGCTTAAGACAGGAGATGTACTTGCAGGAATCGAAGATAAGGAAACTTTCAAGACATACGAGTTTTACGCAATTTCAGGTGTAAACATTAAAGAAGGAACAGTAAGAAAGGATTCAAGTGCTATTAAGGTTAATTATACACCAATGTTGACTTGTGGATCAACCAATGTAAGTACTAAATTTGTTAAACTTTTCTATGAGCCAGTAGTAAAAGATAAGAAGAAAAAAGGTAAGAGTAGTAAGAAGGAAACAGAAAAAGTTGAAGTTCCACTTGGAGAAAAGACAGAATTTGGTTATCCAATTGAAGCAGTTATGAAGAAGGAAAAGTTCAATGCAATTATTTGTCCAACAAAACCATCATTGTTTGAATTAGCAGATGACTTTTCAGATCTTGGAAAGATTGTATGTAGAGATCAAGGAAAAATTGTATGTGCGGGAAAAGTAATTAAGAAGATTACAGCAGCTCAAGCTTTAACAGACTTTGATATTAATTACAGTAAAGTATTTGATAAGAAACTATCATCATCTTCCTCAAAATCCAGTAACTCATCAACTGTGTCTTTAAAGTCTAGTAAGTCTTCTTCTTCATCTTCTAAGAAGTAATTGAATAAATCTTCTTTTATTAAAAATTTTTTAATTTATTTAATAATGAAAGTGAATAGCGTGATACCAATTCAAATATTTGATATAACAAGTAAAGAAGTAAAGAAAGGATATGTAAAAGATTTCTTTTATTCAGAAATAATTAAATTAAATGAATCTACATATGAATCACCTAAAGATTTAATAAAATCATTAGAAGATCATTCTGATTGTGAGTTAGTTATTTTAATAGTAAAAGACAATATGAGTAATGAAGATAAATTAGAAATGATTAAGAATATGTCTCAATTCCAAGGAATATTGTTTTTAAATTACATTTATGTCACAATGTTAGGTTCAGGATATTTAAATGGGCATGTTTTAACATTTGATAATAAAAAGTATAATTTATATCAAATAAAAGATAATTCGATAGAAAAAGAAACTTTAAATAATATATCAGAAAGTATTGATAGAATATTTATTATGAGAAAAACACTACCTAAAAACAGTTCAATAGTGATAGTTGATATTAAAGATACAGAGTTAATAAAGAATTATATTAGAGATAATTACGTGACATTCCCTGAAGAACTTTTAATATTTGATTTAGAAAATGATTTAAAATTTACAGGAACATCAGTTTTAGGAACTATTAATAAGTTATTAACAATATTTAATGTTCAAAGTGATTTAAAATTTAAAGATAAAATATTTGACATTAAAAAAATTAATAAATCAAACTTACTTTATTTAGATTCAGGTGATCCTAAAAGTTTAGCTTTGTTATTTCTCACGTGAAGCTTACCTTCAAATACAGGTGATGATTTCTTCACATGTTCAAACTTTCTCTTTAATACAGTAACTGCATTGTTAATAAACCCTTTAAGTTCCGAATATCCTCTGTACTGCTGAATGAGGATAGCACCTGTCAAAATCAATAATTTAAAACCTTTTTTAGTTGATTTGAATAGCAAACAGAATGCCATGAATACATTTAAAATCTCAAAGAAAAACATTAAGCGTAATAATGTAACAAAATTATCTCTTACATATACAGCAGTATTCTTAACAATAGTAGGTACTTTATCGGCCTCAATACTTTTATCTATGAACAAAGCTATCTGATGAATAGCAGCAATGTAAAAGGGAATTAAAAATACTGATGGTGGAAATACTAACAATAATAACAATAACAATACTGTTGGATTGGTGAACCATTGCTCGTCACCGTTTAAATATCTCGTATAAAGAGCTATTGAGTGTCCAAGAATTAGTAATAGATTATTGAATGTTGATGGTAGTGCGTATACAGGTAAAAAGAAGACTCTTTTAAATACTAAAAACATCGCATTTAATACTACAACTACTGTTGTAATGAAATGAATAACAAATCTATTTTCTTTAAATGTTTCTCTAAGCTTGTTCATTTTTAAGGGCTCTTTTTTGTAAAAATTAATTAGCAACAATCTTTCTATGAAAAAATTAAAAAAATGAAAAGTTATTTATTTAAAGCAAGTCAAAAGTTTCATCTACTGGATTGTTAATTGGATTGTATTCATCAATAATCTTTGGATTTAATAATTCATCAGTTATTGCTCTACACTCTTTTAACTGTTGTATATGCTCATCCCTATATCTCAATACAATTTCACAATTATCTGACCTTCCTATTCCCTTAGTTACTAAAACTATATCATTCTCTCTAATCCACTCTCTCTTTTGCATCGATCCTTTAACTTTTCCTATTCTCACTGTTGAGTCTGAACAAAATATTTTAAATTGTGCTTGTCCTAATGGCTGCATTATTATCGCATATAAATCATCTTCTCCTGCTTTTATTAAATTAGTGTTTTTATTTTTTGATCTTTTTCTATTGTTACCCATTTTTTTCCCTTTAAAATTTTTTATAAAATTTATTTCAATTTGTTTTATTCTTCAAGTATTTTTCTATTTCTTCCTTCAATTCTTTATTCTCTATAAAACTGTCTTCATTCATCTCTTCTCTATTGAATGGGTCGATTCTGTCATGTAACATTATTTGATTAAAGGTTGATTTATCAATTATTTGTCTTGATGTTTTCAATATCACTGGATCTCTCATTAACATTCCTGTTACTAAATCTAAATATTCTTCTGGACAGTCTAATAAATAATCTTCATCTACTTCTTTATGATTCTTTAAACACTCTAATATTTCTTTCATATCATTTTGTGTTATTGTATCACTCTTACTTTTAATATCACTATAAAACGCTTCTAACTCATCATACTTAATATCTAAGTGTTTAACAAATGATTTAAACTTTCTTAATAATTCTACTATTTTTAATTTCATATTAAGTGTTGATGGGAAAAGTTTTTCATTTGGATACTTTTCAAATTTCAATCTATTTAGCTCATATATTTTTAATTCTTTATACTTTGGATTAAATTCCATTACATCACCAAGATTATTAAACTTTTGTTGTTTTTTTATCATAAAATCAATTGTTCTACTTAAAGTATGAAATACATTCCTATTTAAGAATAATTTTCTATTTTTATCAACTATTATATTAAGAAGTCTTAATTGAAATTTAAATGCTAATGAATAACCCTTCATTTCCTTTAAATATCTCTTCATACTACTTATTTTAGTGTGTAATTCTTGAGCTATAAAATATTTATCATTCTGGTGTTTATAAATATAAACTAAATTAGTTATTAATACTCGATCTTCTACATTTATTCTATTAATCTCCCTTTCATAGATTTTATCTGATAAATTGGATATGAAAGGTATTTGACCGTAAAAAAAGTCTCTATAATCTTCATCTCTATCATCCTCAGGTTCTGATAATTCAAAGTTTTTATCACTATGTAACTTATTTTCTAATTCAATAACCTCTTTATACATTTTTATGTACGTTTCTTTATTATCTAATGATCCTTGAAAAAATGTTGATAAATCTGAAATAACTGTATTAGCTAATCTCAAACTGTCAATATCCACTGAAAAATCATATTCTGCTAATATTTCTAATATCTGTTGCTTGCACTTATAATTATTCTTATTATCATTACAGCCATAAATAGCTAATATTCTTCTCAATATACAATCACTTTTAATTATATTCTCACTTTTATAGGTACTTTTCTTATATAAAATAGAAATTATATCATCACATAAATTTCTATTAACAAATAACAAATGAAAGAATACATCTGTATATTTACTATAAATCTGATTAGTTTCAATTAGATACTTAAGTGTTGTATCAATAAAATTAAAGTCTTTTACTAAATCATTAACATTAGTAATATTTTTATAATCAATATTTTCATTTTCATATAAAAATTTATACTGTCTCTTAATATTATTCATTTGATTCTTTATTTCTTTGAATATCAACTTATCAGTTGAAAAGTAATGAAGTATAAATAGAAGATATCCACCTATTTCTTTGACTGGTAATTTTTTAATTGTTTGAGTTACTCTTAAATAATTAACAAATAAAAACTTAACAAATTTTGATGTTTTCAACTTACTCTCAAATAAATCAAATTTACAGAGAAGTGGTTCTATTAAATTCTTCATAGTAAAATAGAAAAAGTTAGCAAAATTATCATCAGCATTTTCTTGAATTTTATACTTAATTTTAGCCCTGTCTTGATCACAGTAGTTATAAATCATCTCCATGTAACACTCTTTATAAACAGGAATGTTAATTAATTTTTTAATTAATTGAAATAACTGATTTGCTTTATCAATGTCTTCTTTAACACTGTAATTTAATCTAAGAAATTCTCTAAAAAAGCATGTTGATTCTGAATCATCATTTACAAGTATCTCTTTTAAATCATAATTATATCTTAAAGTCTGTAAAAACCATAATTTATAAGAATTTATCACACCTACTCTCGTATTATTTTTAATACCAAATAAAATTCTTCCCAATTCTTTATTATGTTCTGTTAACTTAATAAATCCTTTAATGGCAGCAGTTAATGAATTAATATCAGAACATCTATAAATAATATTAAGTGCTAAATACTTGTTTTTAGAACACAAATCTTCAATTATCTCTTTGTTATGTAAAATAGAATAGAGGTCTAGCTGTATTTTATCTTCATAAGATAATACTATTGCATCTATAAGTATCTTTCTTGCATAGGGTGCTATTGATTGTTTAAAATTATATTCTCTTAATTTAGTTAATAACTTATAGAGGTCAAACCTTTCATAAAGATGTGTATAGAGTGCTGGTTCATATCCGCTCTCATGTAATATCTCTATTGTACCCTCAGATGGTTCTAGTAACTGTTTAAATGCTTGCTTAAATAAAGTCTTTGAAATTTCACTTAAATTGTTGTAATCACTCTTCATGAATTATTTTTTTAAAAACAAATTTATTAAAAATTTATTATTATTTAATAATGTTTTGTTGTATTTAAATTAAAAAAATTAGTAGTTTTGTTAGTTTACTTTTTAATTTAAATACAATTATAAAATATTTTAATAATCAATTTATAATACTAGATTTTATAAATTTTATATTAAATCATTATATTTTTTATACTAAATTTATAATTTATTGTTTAAAAAATATCTAAATATTAATAAAATATTTTTAAGGATTGATAAAAGTCATTTAAATTTTAAAAATTATTAACTATTTGTTTATTAAGTATTTAAATAACCTCATAGATACAATAATATTATAAAATATTTTATTGTAACACAAATAAAAAAGTTTAAGATTTTTTAGTAAATATACTTATAAAATTAAAGTATATTTTTACTTTTAATTACAAAAATTTTTGTTTCAAAAGAAATAACTAACTAATAAATTTAGTATAAAAATCAAATATTTATACTAAATTTATAATAAAAATTATAAGTTTAAAATACAACAAGAAACAATAATATTAATTTAATATAATTACCATAAGAGTAATGATTACTAATTTTTTAATAAAATTTTATAGTTAGAGATTTTTCATAAAAATTAATTTCTCTTTGTTTTAACTAAGCGTTTACAACAACAAATTAATAGAATTTTATTTTCTTTTTAAATCATTAGTTAAAATTTTAATTATTTGTTATTTAAAAATATTTATTATAGATTTTATTAAACCAGTTATTATTCTTAATAATTTGTTATAAACTCATCTTTACACCCTTTTAGTATATGAATTTGAAAAATTCTCATAACAATAAAACTTTATTAAAAATTATGAACAGGTAAGACAGTTAATTAATAATAAATTTTTTATTAAAAATTTTGAGGGAAAATAAATATAAAAAAATAATTAAATATATAAAAATAATTTTATGGAAGAGAATAAAACAAACGTTATAAGAGGAAAATTTATTGTAATAGAAGGTATAGATAAAGCTGGTAAAACAACGCTTAGTAATCACTTAATCAAAACGATCAATTGTGTAAGAGTAGCATTTCCAGATAGAAATACACCATCTGGACAGAAAATTAATGAATTTCTGAAAACTGGAAATTATGAGTTAAATCAAGAAGATACTGAGAAGTATAATTTTTACTTAAAACATTTTCACAAATCAAACGAATCTAAAAATTTAGTTAAATTTTGGAAAATGCAATGTCTATTTTATGAAAACAGAGTCGAGAAACAAGAGTTTATCAAATCAAAATTAGATGAGGGTGTTAACATAATTTGTGATAGATATTCAATCAGTGGAATAGTCTATTCTAGTGCAAATGGAATAGACATGGATTATTGTATAAATATGGAATCTGATTTAATACAACCAGATATAACAATCTTTTTAAATGTTCTACCTAAACAAGCAAGTGATAGATGTAATGATACGAATGAAATTTATGAGAATCTTAAATTTCAAACAAAAGTTTATGAAAAATATCAGTACTTTAAAGATAAAATGGTTTTTATTGAAGGAAAAGAGGAAGATGTGTATTTAAAAGCTATAAAGCATATTAATAAACATTAATAAACTATTACCAGTCATATTTTGGTTTATCAAGTTTATGTTTATTATTTTCTATAAAAGCCTTTAACTCTTCTTTATGTTTAAGTAAATTCTCACTAAAATTTATACTTTTATTTCTTGCTATTAATCTTCCATAGATAAAAGAATCTTCATTTAAATTATTTTCTATAAATTCATTTAAAATATCAATTAACAACTCTTCTTCGTCTTTCATTTAAAATAATTCATTAAAAAATTTTAATAATTTTGCCAGAATAAAAATGATTTTGTTTGTTTTTAAATTTGAGTATTTCATTAACTTCTATGTTACAATCAGTTACACCCAGCCCATAAACACTACCAGAACTAAATTTAAAAGATGATCTTATTACATGTCCTATATGAATATTATTGACTGCAAGTATATTTGTATAACTACTTACTGTTCCTTTATCTACTTTAAATACAAAGTAAGATACTTCTTTATCTTTGTATATTTCATTTAAGTTAAGAATTGTAGTTTTTGATTGTTTACCTTTAGGTGTTTTGTTTAATTTATCTATCAAAATGTCATTTTGTGATAATGATATTTGTTTATAAATATCACTCTGAACATTATCATATATTGTCATAATATTATTTTCTAATGACAGTCTATGTAACTCATTTAAACTTAATGCCGTATATTTATTACTAATTAGAGTATTTAATATTTTCATTGCTCTATTTCTATAACAAATAATTTTATACTTTTCTAACAAACTATTTAATTCAATTATCTTTATATAATAATCTTCTTTTAATATATTTAAATCAATATCTTTACCATATAATACAAATGAACATAACTTACTATCTATTAATTCTTTGTTTAGTTGTTTACCAATGCTAATTATTTTATCACCAACTACAATTAAATCAGAATTTTCTTCAATTGTCTGTTCATCTCTTTTATATTCAAAAACACCTCTAAATGACTCATCAAATACTAACAAACGTAAACTGAATTTATAAATAAACTTATCACTCTTAACTCTCCTGTTTAATGGTATTGATAGTTTATCTTTTAATTTTAACATAAAGAATCTCTTAGCAAAGTAAGTGTGCGTTCTCAATACATGCCTGTCTTTCTTTCTCGGTTTAACTTTTTTAGTATGTCTTTTATCATAATTTCTATTCCTTCTTCTTTTATAATGAGGTAATCTTTGCCATATCAATGACTGCTTCTTTTTAGTTTCTATACTCTTTTCTATTTCTTTAATTTCTTTACTTCTTGAATTTACAAACTCATCAACTATCATTTTAATTAAAATTATCTTTTATTTATAAAAACAAATGTGTATAAAATTTAGTTTGTATAAAAATAATAAAGAAATCTTTAATAACTTATCAAGTGATTTCATTAAGAATAAAGGTTTATTAATTAACTTAGCTATTGCTCCATTTGATATTATCAATCAATTTTATAGAGATGAAACTATTACAAAATTAATAATGGAGCCTTATATTATTAGCTTATTCAAGTATAATGAGTATATTTTTCTTACTGTTGATACTAAATATGTTAATTTAGAAAATAAATATAAAGATTTATTAAAAGAAGCTAGTGATTAAATTTGACTTTTTAACACAACAGATATTTTAGGACATTCTTTACCATCAAGTAAATCTTCTAATAATTGATACAATCCTTTATCATATTTAAGTTCACTAACTACCCAGTCAATTTGTTGTTCATATGATAAACTGTTTAAAAGAACTAATTTTACTTTCCTATAATGGAAATATTTATAAAATTCTTCTGTATTAAATTGAATATTTAACATATGATATTTGTTTCTTAATTTGGTAATATTATTACTAAAAAATACTACAAGATTATAATTAGATCCAAAGAATTTTGTAAAGTTATACAATCCTATACTATCAATTACGTATTTATTAGTTTTAACTAAATGTTTAAATATTCTTGAATCTTCATACACGTAAATAATGCTAAATAAGTCTGGTGATATTAACCTATAAATATACTTTTCTTTTATAATTTTATAAATTAAAAATTTTAAATACAATTTTACAATTTCGTTTAAAAAAGATACTTTTTCTTTTATAATGTCACTTTCTTTAACTTTCTTTCTTTTCTCCTTATTTTCATTTGATCTAACTACTTTCAGTGCTTGATCATGAATATAATAAAAAACTATCTTTTTATAAACTTCAATAACTCTTTTACCTTTTATAATATTCATTATATAATTAGCAGTTACTTTATAATACATATGAAAGTCTATATTACCTTTATATAAATAAATATTTGAATTATATAAATTAGGAAATATTCTATCAATTTCTCTATTTTTAGTATTTTTAATTTTCATATCAACTAAATCATTTTCTATTGTGTAATAGAAAGCTTCAAAAGTAGATATTAAATTTATACCAAAAATACTATTTAACTCATTTACATTAATCAGTCCATTATATCCTTTTCTACAAATTCTCATAATCTTCTTTCTAATTCTATCTATCCAATACAATGAAATAAAGTACATCATGGCATCCATAGGGAACCCAAAATATCTATAAAAATTGCTAGTTAAATACAACTTAACCAGTTCAATACATTTATTCATATATGTATTATTTTGATTTGTGCCTTCATTAAACAAACTTCTTAAATTCATATTACAAAGTAACTCATAACCTTTAAATTCATCAGTTAAATCAAAACTATCTTTTAATGTACTAATAGATTTTTTTAACTGATCCATAATTAAGTATAAATCAAATTCAATTCTATATAACTTGTATAAAGCATAGATATAAAACCGAATAATTGATTCTAAAATAACCTTTTTAATATTTAATTCACATGTTATTAAACTTTCTAAATCTAATTTAACTGATCTAATTCTATTATCTATAAATTTATAAGAATTATAATTGATATCTAACTTTAATAAGAATTCAACAGTTCTATGAAGTGCGTTTATATTTCTAATATATTCTCTTCGCTCTTCTTGTCTTCCTGCTACACTTCTATAATACCTCTTAATTATGACATTATGTTCAATTTCTATAGGATCTAAATCATTTTTTATAGTTCTTTCAAGGTATTCAAACCTAGGACACATTGAATTACTATATACTGTACTTAAATCATCAACTATTTCATTATCATCTTCTTCTCTTCTCTTTTTTAAAATTTCATACTCTTCTTTTAGTTTGTCCATTCTTAAATAAAAATTAAAAAAATTATTAAATATATTTGTTTAAAAAACTATTATTAATAAATAACTTTCTATTTTATTAATAATTTAATATATAAAAGAATATTTTAACAATAAAAAACTTCATAATAGTTTTAATAAAATTTTATTTTAAGAATTTCTTTTAAATTAATTTTATTGATGATATTTTGACTTACAATTTATTTTTATTTAAATAAAACAATTAAATTTTGTAATAAAATCAATTAAATAATTAAGATTTTAAAAATTAAACCAAAATATTTATTAAAAATCTTTAAAATAAAAATCGAACAAAAACTATTTTTCATTGATTTAAATATGGATTAATAGTTTTGTTCAACTTATTAATATATTAAAATCAATTAAATATTAAAACAACAATTAAGAATCGAACCAAAACAATCTTTCATTAAATTTAACATGACAGTGCAACTTAATAATTTGAAATCATTAAAAAATTAAAACTGTAAATTAGAATCAAATCAAAACTATTTGACATCATATTTAATATAACAAAAGTTTTAAGGATTATAATTAATATATTAAATTCAATTTAGGGCACTTTCAATTTTTTTCTTATATGAATTTTTAAATTTAAAAATCTCATGACGAGAGTGTATTTGAAGTAAATTTAACCCTTTATATATATACTTAATTGACATTAAAATTTACAATAAATTATTTAATAAGCAAGATA